CTGTAATGCATACAAATGAAGAAGTCATTGTCTTATCCTTGAATATTTTGTTGCCTTGCTAGTGAGAAAATGTATGTACAAATAAGATTCAAGGTAGTTCGTCAACCCAAGGCCACACAAAGATTCCCCGAGTTATGAAACTCCCTACGTATAAACCACCAGTGTATAAAGACTTTGCAATGCTGTGCATCCTCAGGAGATATTCCTCCCCATGCCCAACCTTCTCTTCATACCCACTGTAGCTCCTTCTAGCAACCAAGTTATATTGGCGGTGCTCTGCCAGCTAGAACCCCATCATTGGCCCCATCTGTCCCTCATCGATCCTTTCATTTCCTTTCAAGGCCAGTGAACATATCATGTAGCCATCATATAATTACCACCTCCTTCTACCTTAATTCATCTGCCTTTTACCACTCACAGCTCACAGTTCAGTTATTTCCACCTCATACAACACTTTTTCACATATTTAATGCATCCTTTTGGGGGTCTGTCTTATTTCTCCTTCTTCTAATACTTGTCAAGTTACTGCAAGGAAAAAACACATGGTCTCTCATGTCCCCTCTTTGAACAAAGAATTCCCGGATGCCTCCCATACAAGTAGTGCTGGTAACCATTTTGTATGGAGGAGAGCAAAGTTACCATGTTTAAAAAGGAAAAAATATATGTTGAATTAGTGACATCAGCTTCTAAAGCTTTTTTTGCAGAAGTTTCTCTCTGACTCTCCATGGGAAAAACCTTTCTCTAAAATTTTACAAGTGCTTCCTCCAAAAATGTCTATTAAGATAAAATGTTTAAAGTATCAAATTACATCTTACTTACAAATGTTGCAAAACATTTTCTGCTTTTTATTTTTCTTTGCAAACGTAACCTACTTGAACAATAGAATTGATTGAACGTTCCGAATTCCAAATGAATAACCTTCACACAGATTTGTTATGTAATATGCATTTATAAGATGAGCATACCTTATATAACATATAACTCAAAATGAGTAGAGGGCATCTGGGTGGCTCAGTCAGTTGAGTGTCCAACTTTGACTCAGTTCATGATCTCATGGTTCATGAGTTCAAGCCCCACAGCGCGCTCACTGCTGTCAGTTCAGAGCCTGCTTTGGATCCTCTGTCCCTGTCTCTTGCCGCTCCTCTGCTCATGCTCTCTTTGAAAAATGAGTACACATTTAAAAAAAGAAACAAAAAACCCAAGATGAATAGAATAAACAATACCTATTATATGAATTGAAAGGAGAGAGGTTGGGGAGTGAGAAAGAGAGAGTCATAAACTTTGGAAAACTTTTTGCACAGAACGTTGAACTTGAACTTGACTCTAAATAATAAACTGATGTGTTAGGGAGAAGTTGAAAGGGTATCTCAAGTTGGGAAAAGACTGTTGACAAAGGTGTGTTTGGTTGAAATGGAGACTTTTCTGGAAGCGTAAAAGAAATATTCACAAATCAGGATTGGACCAATTTGTAGGTGTTTCATGTGACAAAAATGACCAATGTCACGTTAAGGAGTTTTATGGATTTTCTCCCATAAATGATAGAGAGATGTGAGCATTTGGAAGGACTGTAATGAATTAGACAGAGTAGTTTTAGAAAATTGGTGATATTTGAGGAATTAGAAAGCAAGGGGACTGGATAGCAGACCATGTAAAACCACATGCTTGTGAGATGTCGGAGACCTGGACTAGTGTGGTGGGAATGTCATATAAGTGGAGCTCTGACAAATGCTTCAAACAGAATGCAACATAGTCTTGATGTAATAAAGGGGGTGAAGGAAAACAATATGTCAGAAATGATAGTGAGGTTTCAGATTGGGTGATGGGGAGAATGAAAAATATACCTAATGGCAGAACCAGGAAGGTTAGAGGAGAAAAATTGGGTGGATGAGAGGAAGGAAAGTGATGATAAGTATATGGGTCTCAATGCCATCAATAGAAAGTTAATATTAGCCACATATATCATTTTAAATAGTCTAGCAGCCATATGCAAAACACTAAAAATAAACAGATAAAATTGTATTTAATAATATTTTATTTGCCCTAATATATTCAAAATATTATCATTTCAACATATAATCAATATATTTTTAAGCAGTCTCTACACCCCAAGTGGAGCTTAAACTTACAGCCCTGAGACCAAGATTTGCATGCTCTATCGACTGAGCCAGCCATGTTCTATCAACTAAGCCAGCCGCCCCAACATATACTAGTATGAACATTGCTGAGGGGGCATCTGGGGTGGCTTAGTCAGCTGAACATCTGACTCTTGATTTTGGCTCAGATCATGATCTCATGGTTCGTGGGATCGAATGCTTGGGATTCTCTCTCTCTGCCCCTCCTCTGGATGCATGTGTGTGCTTTCTCTCTCTCTCTCTCTCTCTCTCTCTCTCTCTCTCTTTCAAAATAAGTAAATAAACATTAAGAAAATATTGATGAGATCATTTACATTCTTTTTCTCACACTAAGTCTTTGAAATCTGGCATGTATTTAATGCTTAGAGCATATCCCAATTTAACTAGCTACATTTAAAGTGTTCGACAGTGACCTGTAACTGGTGGCTACCATATTGCACAGTGTATTATTAGACAGTTTGATAGAACTAACAAAGATTATGTAGCAAATGTCTCAATTAAGCTAAGTGCTAAGACTCACTGTATTTTGGCACTCACAGTGCTAAGACTCACTGTATTTTGGAAATTATAATTCTGTTTATTCTTTCTCCCCCTCAATTCCTTGTTTGTTTTAGCTGCTTCATATTAAAGATGTTCTTTTAACAGAACATCATTCTTCCCCAGAGCACCAAGAATTTTAGAAATATCCATGGTAGAGAGTTTTTCATGGTTGTAGTTCTTCACTTGACTTATAACTTTAATTGAACAAATCAGTCTGAATCTTCTTTTTCATCTCCCTCTGTCAGTCTTAAAACTCTTGATTATGAAATAATTTAGCAATATGTCCTCAAAAACCATGGATAAATGACACTTAGTATTTTGGAAATGAAGCTACATTTTTCATGTTCCCCTGTCTGCATATGTGTGTATTTCTCCAGCATTTAATGTCTGACGTAAACTTTGTTGGATTTTTGGTCTTCACTATAGGCTAAAGAACGCAATATGAAAGGGAGCCTACTTCTATAGAAAACACGCCAAGGACATTGTGTTCCTTCTTTACAATGAAATGCAGATTTCCCATTAAAAGGCGAATCCATCATTTCAAAAGGTTGAATAGGATGGTGCGTTAAAAAAGTCCAGCTGCTTAAATTTAGGGCATTGAAAAACATCCAATAAAAAAATGTTCCCTGGGTTTCAAGCATTTTCATTTGATTATGTATTGGATAGCTTTTCATTCAATCTGTGATCTTTCCTGTTAGAATTCTATCCTAAAATAGTCTGACAAGTGTTTCAAAGAAGTTAGACTCAACTATGATACTTCAGTAACTTAAATTATGTATTTCGCTATTTAGAATATACTTGTGTTTGCTGAAATATTATTAATTTTTGTACAAGAAATGTTGGAATTTTCTTTCAGCGCTTTGCTTTTTCATGTTTATTCTTAGGCTTCTCTCACTTCCATTTAGTTTCTTTTATGTTTTTTTGATCTTCTTTGAAGACATGACATTGTCTGCCAGGACAGCCATTTTGTTCTCCAACGAGCTTCCTTCAACTGATTTAGTCATCTATTTCTCTCTGCCTCACTAATCTGATGTGTTCTGCCCAGATTTTCTCTAATTAATTTGAGAGTAATGAGTGGCAAAGCTGATTCTCCTGGCAATAACTCTCTGTGGGGTCTGCAGACAACATGGCTACCACAAGCTGGCTAGAGAGCACGTGCATGCACACACACACACACACACCCACACAGACATACACACACACACACACACACACACACACACAGAGTTCTGCTCCACACTACAGAGCCTAGTGCTGTAGGAACCAAAAGACTTATGTCAAACATGTTTGTACAGCACATGTACTTTTCGACAGGAAATACAGTTAATAGTTGTTTATTAAAAGTTGTGAGTAAGTCTCTATGCTTCCCTCCTCTGGAGTCTAGTCCTGCTTTTTCTTAGGACCAGCACAAGAGATATAGGCTGGGGCCATACACAGGGCTACTGTTGAACAAGGACTGTGCTAGAATACCCCTGGTAATAGATATTGACTAGGTTTCTTCAGCTGAGTGTTTGGCTCTCTCCTCCTAGACTGATCATTAGGCATTTATACATATGATAATATTGCCCCTGGGCCAATCCCTAAATGTAAATGTTTCTCATAATTCTTTAGCATCCAGTATGTTTCACTAAGACCAGTTTGGCCCCATTTGCAGACCTCCCTCCCCACCCAATGTCCATTTTCTTCCTAAAGAATTGTTAATTTTAAAAGAGAATTTATTCTAGTTAATATCAGTCTACTTCTAATGGGTTCTTTTGTTTCTCAAAGAGGTCAACAATTTAATGGAATCACTTTTTTCTGGACCCACATTTTATTCCAGACCCAAATGAAGGAAATATTTTGCTGTGCTTTATCTAGTTTATAGGGGGTATTTCATACTGGGGTCCTGTGCTTCCCGTCCCTGCCAGCACTGGCTATCAAAACTGCTTAGGCTGCAAATAAAATATGAAATGAAATCCATCTGGCATTTCTCATTGAATTAGGACCAGAACATTTTTGCTAAATATTAACAGATGGCTAAATTCTTAATATCAAACTAACATTTTAAAACATCTAAGGGGACCCACATGAGGAAGAAAGGGTGGAGGACCATGTGTTCTCTCTATCACTGAGGCCTTCCTTCCTCCACACTTTTCCTCCCCTCATCCTTGCAACCCGTGTGTTGAGAATCATTGGAGTCTCTTTTCTCAGATAGCTTTTATTCCTTGGTAGCTGGTATCAAAATATTGTAATCAAATGTTGGACAACTCAGGTGATGAGTTGCCCTTGGCAGCCTTCAGGATCTTTTATTAAAGCCAATTCTCTCTCCATCTCTTTCTCTCTCAATAGGAAAAAGAAAAGAAGTATATGCTTCCCTTGGACAACCTGAAAGTTCGGGATGTGGAAAAAAGCTTTATGTCTAGCAAGCACATCTTTGCACTTTTTAATACAGAACAAAGGTAAGAAAATGAAGCAGCTTCTGTCTTCAGATTTTTTTTTACTTGAATTTCTGTGTCACCTAGAGACCATGTTTACAAGAGTTCCTTTGGTCCCACCTGGGAACTTGTTAACTCTTTGGTTTTCCTTTTATTTTGTATGTTTAGCTTTCACCATAGGTTATGGGTTCACAGGATTAAAACTTAGAATAAGAAGGATCTTCAAGTATTCCCTGTTCTTCCAGCAGGCACCCAAATCATGCTGCTTTCATTCTTAAAGTAGATTTTATTATTTTAAAGTCTTTCTTGTCCTCAATTTATTGCATACATACTTGCAAATTACTCAGTTACAACTTTTGATAGTGTCTGTCCAGCATGGATGGATATTACTCAAGACCTTATATATTTTGGGAGGGCATTTTTGCATTGGTGAATAGAATGATTCACTTAATATAAATACAGATATGTAGTACTTCCCAGTTTTTCAAAGCACTGTGCATGTTCATTGTTTGATTTTTTTTAAAAACAGTTTCTCATAAGGTAGAAAGATAGAGTAGTGTGGTTACCATTTCATAAAGTAGAACTGTAGTTCAGAGAGGTTAACTGACTTTCTTAAGATCATAAAATTAGTATATGAGAAAGCTTAAAACTGAAGTAGGACTACTGTGTCTAAATCCACTTTTCCTTCCACTTGTGTCTTATTATTGTTGTTTGGTTTTTACTGCCACTCACCTACAACATCGAAACTTAATTTGGGGCTGATTATCATGGAGTGCCACGGTTACTCACTGAAGTTAAGCAGTAAAATTAAATATAAACAAATGGAGAGGTAACAGAGGATGGAATAGAGAGATGTAAAAGGGCTACAATGAGACAAGGATAACAAGGAGATCTTTTCCAAATGGCAATGTTATAGGAAAACGCTAATTAATTTCTATGAGTCAGTTATTAAGAGACTGAGTCATTAGGTGACAGGGTCTAATTTTAACCTATCTCTTCAGGCCTTTTATCTTTATTTAGCAATGAATGAAGTTCCTTGATTGGGTTCAATGACCGTCCCAGGGTCAATCACACAGTACATTAAAATAGCAAAAGAAGTCTTCTTCCTACATTCCCAGTCAGTTGCTCAGAGTGACTCATTATACAAAAATACCTAGAAAAACCACAAGAGCTAGTCATTTAAAGGATCAAGGGGAGAGAAAATTAAATATAACTCCCCTACCAAATACTGAGATGGGAGTTTTTAAAGACCTAGTATTATTTGAGAGTAGCTTATGAAAAAAAAAACACTGTGATGGTAAAGAATAAAAAGATTTCCTGGAGAGAGCAGTAGGGTGTCCTCATACTAGGGCCAAACAGTACTGTTTACATACTTTGCTCAAAGCAGAGGGTAGCTGGGAGGTCCTGAAGGAATCTTTACAGAAGTGCTCGGCCTTCCTGCCTGGATGCAGGGTCGAAGTGTGACTACTACATAGGAGGTCAATTTGAGTTCTTCATCAACCTGGAAAGTTCAGGTTATAAAAGGGCTTGGTACAAAATTTAAAAAAAAATTCAGACAATGGTAGAGTAGGTTTTTTAGATGAACTGCAACTTATATTTTAAAAGGAACAAAAGACACCAAAATAAGATAACTCTGGACCTCTAAAACTCTGGGTATTCTGGAATCCTAGGGTTCTTGGAAGGTATTGAATTCTTCAGCCACTTCTCAGAGACCTCTGTGAGTACGAGGATGTCCCATCTACAGGCATATTTGCTGTTGTCTTATGGCCTGAAATCTTGATTATTTTCAATTAGTTTTGTACTGGCCAGGACCTCCAGTACAATGTTGAATACAATTGGGCGTCCTTGGTTTGTTTCGTATTTTAGGGAAAGTTATTTTATAATTTTATAATTAAGTACTTTCTGATAGGTAACTGATATCAGGTAAAGAAGACCCCTTGGGTTCCTAGTCGCTAAGGTTTCTGTTTCTGTTTGTATCATGAATGGATGTCGAATTTTATCAAGCGCTTTTTCTGTCTCTACAGAGATTGTATGATTTTCTTCTTTATCTGTTCATGTAATGAAATATACTAATAGGCCTTATAATATACTTAAACCATCCTGATCTCCTGAGATTAAACTAGCTAAATCACGAAGTAGTGTTCTTTATGATGTGCTCCTGGCTTGTTTGCTAGCATTTGCAACTATGGTTATAAGTGATATTGGCCTGTAAATGTCCTTTTTTGTGCTGTCCCCGCCTGGTTTCATATCAAGTTTGTGTTAGCTTTATAATTGAAGTGGGATGAAGTTCTCATTGTTCTTAGGAACATTCTGTATAAGCTAGGGATTAACTGTTAATGGATTATGTGGTAGAACTCACCCATAAAATCATCAGGGCCTAGTGGACAGTTTTGGTAAGTAAGCTTTAAACTAGTGATTTAACGTATTTAATAATTATGGGTTTGTTAGGTTTTCTATTTTTATCATGGGTCAGTTTGGACAAATTGTATTTTTCCTAGGAAATCATCCATTCTGTTCATTTTTCAGTCCATTAGCCTCAAGTATTTCTTAAGGTTCTATTTTTTCAAATTTCTGCTGTATCTGAAATTTGACCCCTTTTTATTTTTAATATTAAGTCTTTTTTAACATGATCATTCTCGCCAGACTTTTACTTTTTCAAAGAAGCAGCTTTTGACTCTTTTGATCCTTTATTGTGTATATTTTTTCTATACACATAGATTTTTTTCTATACACAGAGATTTCTATATTCTCTGCTCCTTTCTTCAATATTTTCTTCCTTGTATTTATGTTTATTTTGTAGTATTTTTTCCTAACTTCTTAATTTAGATGTGTAGCTCATCAATTTTTGTCCTTTCTTTTTCTTATATATGTATGTAAATCTATAGATCTTCCTCTAGGTAGTCTTTAGCTGCTTACCACAGATTTTGAGGTATAATATTTTTTATTATCATTAAGTTCTGTTTTCTTCAATCTTCTGTTTCTTCTTCATGATTTCTTCTCTGAATCATTTAGAAGTATGTTTACAGTTTATAGTGCATGGACTTTTATTGGTTTGCCGTTATTGATTTCTAACTTAATTGTATTGTGGTCAGAGAATACAGTTAGCACTTGGTGAATTTTCATAAATATTCCATGTATACTTGAGAAGAATGTATTGATTTGGGAGTGTGGGGTTCCATGAGAGTCTACTGGATTATGCTTGTTAATTACATTATTCAATCTCTATAGTTACTATCTTTTTTTCATATCAATTAAAACACTCAGCAAGTTTATATTAGGCAGCCATTATGTGCCAGGTACTTTTCTATGTACTTAAAATACATTGCAAATAAAATAGACAAAAAAGATGGTACACTGTAGATTATGTTCCAGAGAAGGGTGTTGGCAGGGAGACAGATAAAAGAAAGCCATAAAGAATCTCACTTTATCAGAGGGGTATTAAAAATCTCACTTTGTGATTATGAGCTTGATTATTTTATTAGTCTGTCAATTTTTGTTTTATGTATTTTGAGGCCAATCTATGTTATTGGTTCTTGCAAGTTTAGAATTGTGTTATCTTCCTGATGTCTCTCTCTCCCTCTCTTTATATATACTTATATATGTATATATGTGTGTGTATATAATATGTATATATTGTGTATATGTACTGTATATATTATACTATGTATATAATTTTGTGACAACCCTCTTTATTCCTAACAGTGCTATTTGCCTTAACATTTATTTTGTCTACTCTTAATATAACTATACTACCTTTATTTTAGTTAATATTTTCTTGGTTTATCATTTTTTTGAAAAAAAATGTTCATCCATTTTTGAGAGAGAGGGAGAGCATGTGAGAGAGCATGTGGGGACAGAGGATCCCAGGCGGGCTCTGCATTGCATGTCTTGAACTTACGAACCATGGGATCATGACATGAGACAAAGTCAGATGTTTAACTGACTGAGCCACCCAAGCACCCCAGCTTGGTTTATCTTTTTTACCTTTTTGCCATCAACCATTTTGTATTTTTATTAAGTCTTCTCTTATACTAGCATGTATCTGTATTTGTTTGTTTTTAATCTCATGTAAGATCTTTTTCTTTTAACTAGTGAATTTAGTCCATTTATATCTTTATAACTGACTCATTGAATTTATTTGAACATCTTATTTTAGTTTTTCTCTTATCCTGCCTTTTCTATACTTGTTTTCCACCCTCCCCACTTTTTTCCTGACTTCTTCTTTTTTTTTTTTTTAAGTTTATTTGTTTTGAGAGAGAGAGAGAGAGAGAGAGAATCCCAAGCAGGCTCCAGTGCTGTCAGTGCAGAGCATGACTCAGGGCTTGAACTCACAAATCATGAGATCATGACCTGAGCCAAAATCAAGAGTGGGACACTTAACTGACTGAGCCACCCAAGTGTGCCCTGACTTCTTTTTCTTTAAATTCAGGTTAATTTATTTTTCTCCTTGCCTACCTTAGTAGTTATATTCTTTATTTTAATTCTTTGTTTATACCTCATTTTTATTTGAGTTTGAAGTTAGTCTTTTCTACTCTTTTTCCAAAATGACCTTGAAACTCTTTAAGTCCACTAACTCTCCTGATTTCCACATTATTGTTACCCAGTATTTGAGTTCCATCTTACTTTCTTACTACCTTTTTAAAATTGGTTCATATAGGAAATGTTTGTTTAGATATATTAACACAATTGTCAATTCCTTTGTTCACTTTTCTTCTTGCATCCTAGTGTTTGATTTTGGCTCATTCTCCACGCCAAAGTGCATCCTTTAGAAATCCCTTCAGTGTGTGCCACTTGCTTGTAACTCTCAGGTGTTTATTTTCCTGAAAATGTTTTTATTTTGCTCTCATTTTTGAATAATACTTCTGTTGGATATTAAATTGTATATTCATGGTTCTTATCTCATAACTTTGAAGTCATTTTCCCCCTGTAGTCTGGCTTCAGCTTTTAAGAAATAATCTGTTGCTCCTTTTTATAGTTAATCTGTATTTTCTCACTGAATGATTTCAATATCCCTTTTGCCTTTG